GAATGTAATACATACATTAGCGGAGTGTGGTTTTAGGTCTTCTATAAATCACCACGGGTTTTGTGTTGTCAAATATTTGGCCCATTTAAATGATTGACTAATGCAAATCGCACTTTTAACAAATAATCCAAATGGCACCACTGAGAATGTTAGCCGTAACTGATGTAAATGCGTTGACTGATTGCGAAACTAAACATGGTCCTTACATTTATGGCAGCCATGAACAAAGAACAAAGCGTACAAATTTCGGATTTCAGCGCTACACATATTGACATGTAATTAAATTACATGTGAAATGAAAGTCACAAACAAATGTATTATTGGTTGCACAATATGGAGGCCGTAAATTTTAGAACGTAAGGCATAGTTAGTTGGACTTTGACCAATGGTGAACCTTTAGGGCGTTGCTGCGGCAGTGTGCAGAATGTAGCATTTTCCAATCAATTGAATTTCAATTTGCATAATTTACAAAATGTCAACGTAATGTGCATGTATGAAATTCAATTATTTTCCATTGAATTGAACTGGAGACATTGAAAGTGGACTATAAGTGGACAAAGGAAAAACCATTCAGCCCATTCAATTCGGTCACCACAAGACCTTTGCATTGGAGTTGAGCACGCACGCAAAATACACATGCAAAATAAGGGACGACAGTGGGTGTGTCACGAACAGGACCACAATTTTTTCAAATTTGCATGTTTGCCGTATGTGGCACAGAAGGGTAGACGAAAGAACAGTTCAACCCCAAACTAACCCAAAGCTCAAAAACATATAAAATGTCAATAAAATGCGTATGTGCAGCACAGTTTGGGGGATAGAACTAAAACGAGAAAGTAGAACCATATCAAGCAATAAAAAGCTTGGCCATGAAATTCCTCCATCTTTTTGCTTTTTGCTTTTTGTGCGGCAGCACTTAGAAAAAACAGCAAAATATAACTAAAATAAAAGGGGCGAAAATGTCAACATTTGAATATCCTTGCGAAGACTATAATTAAACAGTCAATGATATAGAGTAGTATTCAGTCTAGAAAAGTGTTTAGTTATAACTATTTTTGAACATTCAATTATTTTCAGAGTATTTTGGGTAGAAAATTATTTAACTTGTCAATCATTGAAATTAATATAATCATAGTGAAAATATATTTTTAGCAAATTTGTTTCTGCCATTTCTGTGAAACCAATAAAGTAGCTACACAAAATCAATTATTTTTCCGTCACACTTTACCATGATAGTGTCCCTTTTGCGTTTTGCGCATTCTGTGCACCCACAAGCCAATTTCTTTAAAAGATAAATAAGAAAAGGGTAAATGTACATACATATATATATTTACAGTTTCTTCGTTGCTTTATTTATTTTTATATTTTCATTTTTTTTTTTTTTTCCTTTTTGTATCATTTCTTACTTGAGAAATGCTGAAAACACGCAAAGCTGTCAGCAGTCAGCGTTGAAGGCAACGATGTTGTCCTTGTCCTGGTGCCCAGCCCCTACAAAAGTAATATTCTAGTGGCCACAAAAAAGGCATTCCATAAACTTCACTTACGAGCATTGCACGTTGAATGTTTGTGGCTGTTTTGTGGGCGCGTGTGTCGTAAAAATTTAATTAAAAAATAATTTTTGCCAACAGTGAAAATCAACACATCGCAATCCTTGAGTAACTGGTAGCTAGCTGGCTAGCCGCCAGCCAAATAATGATTAGGCATATGTTCAAATGGAAACAGACGCTTCTAGCCAAGCGGCTTTTCCAGCTGTCACGCCCATTTGGCAAAATGTGCGAATAATGTGCATGGACAGCGTTCATTTATGGCCCATTATTCTGCCGTACTGTCCGGCCAACAAAATTATGATGATGACTTATATTAGGCCGACAGCCATTGTCTGCCATTGTGCTTGACAGCGCCTGACGCTAAAGTGGATCGACCGCCTGAGTGTTTTGCCTCCTTCAGCGAGTCAATAAAAATTCAGTAAATCCCTGTCGACATAGGCTCAAGGACTATTATTGCTACTTTAGGACAGTTAATGTGTTTCAAAAGGATAAATACACAAACTGTAGCTGCATCAATTGGCTTGTCATTTTCATCGCCAGTCCAACAAATGAAAATTGGTCTTCAATAGATTAGAATTGTATTAACATGGTCTATAGATGAGTTTTTAATGGTATTTTAACCATCTCTCACACAATTATTGTAGACAATATAGCATGAGTTGTCCAAAAGTATTTAACAAGTAGAAAGTATATATATATATATTAATATAGTTGATTTAGTTGTAGATTATGTCCGAATTACGATAAACCTTGACTTAACCTAACTGCACTTTCATGGACGTTAATAATCTTTAAACATCTGGTTGAACTGCCCACTCTAAAAGTAATGAAAAGAAACTTAAAGATAATGAACAGGCTCTAACAATGTTGCCCAAAAACAATAGAAAGAAATGCAACTTAATTCTCACACTAATTAACCGCTGGTTAGGGAACAGGATCCAAATGATGTCTTCAATCCCAATGGTAATGAAGACTCGTCGCTGCTTTGTTCAATTATGGTCCACTTCAATGTCGTACCATAAAATTTACATTTTTTTACACTTCTTGTAACTTTCATGTTCGAAAAAAATTCGACATGCTAAATATGTTGACACCTTTTGCGGGAGCGGCTAAAAAACAAGAAAAGAAGAAAAAAAACACTCACAGCTAATTGCATGCGGGCGGCTCAACAACAACTTAATTGCGTTGTTTGTTGGTGTTGTTGTTTTTGTTGACCTTTTGACATGGCATAACCATTTTGAGCATTTGCATAATTGCGCTGCCTGAATTTACTGAAATTTCTGTTTCAATTTCCACGTAGCATTTGCATAAAGAAAATTGCATCACTGTAGCACAGCCAAACAGCACCATTTCCAAATAACATACTGGGACTAAAGTGCACAAAGCTCAGTGAAACTTTTTTAAAACATTACAAAAACTATTAGCTTATAACATCGAAAACAGCAGCCACGATGCGAAGCACTTATGTTGATATTTGCTTATCAAATTAGTGTCTTTGCAACACGTTTTCAATTTTAGCCATTGTAACAGTTTGGTGGCAACGAATCATTTAGCAGAGGTAGATATAAAAATAGTTCAGCAGCGACTTGACGTTTCAAAGATGACATTATTTTAAGTGGCATTACAAAAATGGTGTTAATCCAGCAGCGAAAGAAAATATAATTTCAATTTACAGTGATCCAGTTAAAACAAGTAAGAACACTTTGGTTGATTTAGCTCGACTACGAGTTACCCTGAACACAGTTGTTGAACATATTACTCTAGTTATATTGAAAGACTTCATTTTAAAAAGATTTGCACTCTTAAATGCTGTCAATGGTTGTGCACTAATATTCTTGGCTTGCACAGGTACTGAAGGAAAAGAAGTTAGCATAAAGTTATCGATTAAATAATATAAACTTTATGTGCTCCGAGAATACTAGAACTTATATTCCACATTTGAAGTCTTTAGTTCTTAAAGTCACTAAAATCTGCGTGTTCATATAGACGGTTCGGCTGCTGATAATAACGAAGAACATATATACCTTATGGGGTCGGAGATGCTACCTTTTGCCTACTACTCACTTTTGCGGAAAATCTTTACACCCATTTTACTCATTTTTAATAGTTACAAGGTAAGTTCAAATAGAAACCATAAGTTAAGCATAACACTTGAATGGTATTCCCGGTTATAAAAATGTTTTTATGTTTTTTTACCACAGGTTAAAAACATTTGCAATCACACAAGCACTTGTCACAACTTTATTGTTTTGCTGGGACCACGTTGCGTATATGCAATATGACAGAGTAAATATGCACAAATATTTACTTACCCACCTATTTACCTAAGCTGCCAGCCGCTGCTGTCGATGACGAGCAAATAGACGGCCAATCGATTTGGCTTTGTTTACCATTGATTTCTATTAGTTTGCAATTGCGATACCGTAATTAATGCAATTGCATTTAAATGAAATTAGTTTTAATTTTACTGATGCCAGTGAAAGTTGGCTAATTAGTGGATTTAATTGTGCTGTTTGATTAATGCCGATATGATAGTTACATTTAAAGCACATGTATTTTGTATATAGATACAAATACAGTTGTACATCCAATGTTTGGAATAATTTGCTATTTCTTGAGGAATAAAATGAAACTGAAAAGTCAGGTAGTCTATTCAATATCCATATATCGACCATATATAATACATGAGACACATCGATAGGCTGGAATTGTCGTTGTTATCTTTGTTTATTTGCACAGTTTGAGAATTTATTTTGCGTTTCTAAAAATCTTGCATTGTAGCAGCCTGATAAAAACAGAGAAATTTAATGTTGGCAAATATTTAACTAACTTATTTTGGTATTTATTTGTCATACACAGTTGTACAAATGTACTTAATGCCATTGTCCATGCGCAATTTTTTATCTGCCCCTGACATGCTAATGCCTCCGTTGATACGCATTAAAGCCATGGCGATTACATGCGACCCATACCCGAACCCAGACCCGTAACCCAAACCGTACTCGGAAAACGGCAAATGGCAAACAAATTCACCAGCTAAATGATAAAAAGCTGTTATGGCATCCATACATATCAAAAGTAGCACATGACCAATAAATAGTACATAACAATTTTGTATTAATGTATACTTATTTGTGGCTGCTATCTAATTAGCAGTAAGCTGCTTATTTAATAAAGAGTGTGAACCATAAGGCAAATACGCACTCGTATCACAAGTTAGATAGGTCTTACAATTGCGAGAACTACAGCATTTGTCGTATCACAAACAAGCAAGTAGATAACAAAAAAGTTTACAACTGTGGGAACTATCCAAAATGCATCTTATGATAGTACCACAAAATAATCTGACGTAAATTCTCTGGCTCTATTTAATCAGTATGTAAAGTAACTGTTGCAAAATTGTCTGTGTGAAAAGTTTTCGCAGCATTGTTTGTATGCTTGTTTTTTACTTACCCACTTTATTCCACTATGGCGGTGATTGTCTGTAAAGAGAGCACAAAAGCAAACTTGATTAATATGTAAATGCCCGGCGATTTGATTAACTGCTCAACCTAGTTTTATTTTTAAAGCCCCGCACACTTCCGCCAACAAAAGCAAGCAAAATGCTTAAAAAAAAAAAGCAAAAAACCGCAAGACGATCTTAATACTCTTGACGTGACATACACTGCCCCCATCCATAACCATCCACAGCCAGAGTGCAGGCCAGGCCAGGCATCAAATGTCGCTTGAGATGTGCATACAATTTGGTCAAAGCTGTCAAGAAGCCAAAGACAACATACAAGTTAAGAGCCAGTGTATAATGGCAATAGTTATACTCATCTTGCCAGCTCTCATTATCTTATGGCTAATGTTAAACTCGGCCGAATGGCCAGGCCATTGCCCAATCAAATATGGTAGATGTTTAAAGTGCAATTCGCAAGATGCCTTGAATTATGATACGTGTGCCAAACTAATTAAGACACTGTTGATGTTGTCAGCTGAGTGACGAGTTGTGGGTCAACCTTTTGAGCTCCTCAAAGCCTTGCAAACACACACACACAAATATATATACATATATACATATACACATGTGCGCGTTTGAGTACATAACCACTGGAGGCACTTAATGTTAAGCAGCTTAGTCGTTAATTGAATTAGTTTACAAGTGAAGCAAGGCGTTCGCCATTGGGTCTACGGATTGCTTATTGGCGCAGAAAATGCACTCGTTCCCATACACTCAGAAAGAAAATCGCGTTGATATTAGAAAATCACCCTCAACTGAAAATCGCTCTGAAAACTAGAAAAATGTTCTAGTTGTTAGAAATATCAATTTTGTGTAAATATAGGAAAATAAATATTAGTTTATTGCTTTGTGACCTCTTTTTATAATTTTAAATTAGTATAGTATTAGTATTGCTGGCTCCAGGTTAAATTTGTCTAGATTTTGAATCCCGTCGGGATTCAGCATCAGGGAGAGATTCACAGCGAGTACTAAACGAAAGCTATAAATCCCTCCCTGAAGACGAATCCCGACGGGAGTTTGTGCAATTAACAAAAAAACATATTACAAAGAATTATTTAAGATTAGAATCGCTTTTTTTTATTGTTTTTAGAAATATATATTTCTAATGATCAAAAATGCATGACAAAGATTTTAGATCAGAAACTTTATCAAATTTAGAAAATAGTAATGCAAATTTTTCTCTTGACTGCAAGATTCTACATCAGCTGTTGTCTGTCAAATAAAAATATAAAATTTAATAAACTATCTAAAATGTTTGCATCCGTGAAATCTTACACGGCTAATGTTTAATAGTTAACATAAGTAACAAAAAATCAGGTAGAGTTCACATATAACAACAAAACACTCTGGGAACTAGACAAATTTGTTCTAAATTTTAGAAAAATATACTGGAAAAATATATTGGAATTAAGAAAAGAAAAATGCTGATTATTAGAAAGACACAACCTACCGTTTTAGGAATATACTCTCTGAATAATAAAGTGATGATTTTCTGATATTAAGTACGATTTTTCTGTGTACAAATACACCCAATTTATACGATTCACACTCACAACCACAATTGCAATTACCACACAGCTGTTGCACTTGATATACAATTAGATTCTTTGTTGTGGGCACTGCGACTGTTTCCAAAGTGAAACGATTTTTACTCGTTATGAGGCTGCCTCTCTTAGTGCAATTCTTTTTGCCTTAGTTTTTAATGAACGCTTAATTGTTGCATCTTGGCGACCGACCAGCCGCGGCTTGGATCCAGTTTCGGTCTGATGCTGTTGCGCTTGCAGCTGTTTACATAATTGAAGCAACGTGAATCTTTGAGTAAATTGTTTAATTAAGTCATTAAAATGCCATAAAAATAATTAGAGGGCCTAGACGGAAGTATAAGCCTGTTGGGAGCCTAGGTCTTGGTGCCAACCCAAATGAGCAAGAGTTCAAATGGTGTTTGACATGCGACTCTTGCGTTTAATGAGCTTATGTTTATTGGGCTGGCTCAGACCAGACCAAGGTTAGTCTGGTAATACTTAAAAAGCTGTTGAGCAATACAAGAACAATGCGTTTGACATATTTAAAGCTAAAGGAAAATATATAGGAAAGCAACAACAAACACAGTGTCTTGCATAATGACACAAGCACAAACTGAGAATAGAACAAATACTACAATAAACAACTGTCAAAATTACTATAATTCATGATAATGCCACTAATCAAAATAACTGAAAACTATAATAAACCATTAAACATAACAGACTATAATGAAGAAAATCACCTCTTGGGGAATCGAGGCATTTAAAGTTATTCTGGCCTAAATTAAAGTTACATTAGACAAAACAATGCCAAATCCGAAAATATATAGCATTTATATCAAGTCAATAGTGATAACAATGAGTAAATATATTATTTAAGTCCTTAAAAAGATTACATTTGAAAATATGTATAGTACCGCTGACAATTACAGTCGCGTAATGATATTGCAACACAGGCGACAAGGCTCATTCATGTTTAACATTCAATTAAAACAAACATCTCGTGTAATGTTTACTTTCAGTGGGAACAGTAATAAACAATGTTTACTTGTAAATTCTCATTGAATTTAACATTGCTATTAAGTCCAAATGAGATACATAAAGCCCCAGCATATTGTATGCTTAACTTGCTTTATATTGATATTTTTAATTATTTTTTTACATTCATTTCATTTTCATTTAATTTATACGTTAATGCTCTTAGTGATTTATATCATTTCTGCAACTCTGTGCAAAATTTAACAACCAACAACATTTTTGAAAGAAAAATTCTTTTACGGTAATTGATATTGACGAATTTGTATTTAAATTTTTTTAAACGAGAAATTTAAAGCTCGGAATTTACATTTAAAGAGCAAATGAAAACAGGTAAGAATGCTATAATCCAAAGAGCTCAACTAGCAGATATCCGGGTTCCAAGATTTACCTATGATATTGCTATTATCGACATCAGTAAGAAGTTATTAACAACATGAAATTGATATACAAGAAATTATATTCCAAATATGATATATTTAGCTCTTATAGACTTTGAGATCAGCCGACATAGCTAGCATGACTTTGATGATTTCTTTCGCCGTTAACATAGTTTTACAAAATTTCATTAAACAAATTTGAATCATCGTCAATGGTTTCAATGTATTAATAATCAAATCAATATCCAACTATTGCCAACAAACATTTTGTCCATATAACAAGCATAACGAAGTATTGCCAAACAATTAAATCTCAGAATAAGACAATCAAAATATTGAAACACTTTCAACACACATAACCATAAAAAGCGAAAATTCAAAATATATATATCGAACCAATTAAAAAAAATATATATTCTCAATTGATAAGCGCATTTCGCAGTCGCAAAGTGTCAGAGGCTTTTGGGTCAAATTTTTCTGAATCGCAACAAAATTGCATCGCTAAAAATTAAAAAAAAATAAAAATAAAACAAAATAAATAAAACAAAGATTAACAATTCGCCTGCTATAAAAAGAAATTAATTGGTACTGCGTTTGTTGCGGTTCTTTTATTGAGAATCTTTTAAGGGGGCTATGCAATGTTTAAAAGCTCGGAATGATAAATGCTCAAGATCTACTTGCACCATGTCTGCTTTTAGTGTAATTACATATGCCACTTTGAATTATAAGCTGTTTATTGCCACAAACGTGTATAGTTTCTCATCTTTTCTCCCGCTTCCCGTTGTTATTGCGTCAACTTTCGCTCTGTGCACACGCTAATTGAACTTTCATTGAAGCTCAAGACTCATTAGAAAGTAAGAGCAGAACGGAGAGTGGAGGAGTGGAGAGACAAAGAGAGAGAGAGAGAGAGAGAGAGAGAGAGACAGAGCATAGAAATCTGCGCTGTGCAGCTTGAAAATGAAATTAAAGAACAGCAGAAGCAGCGCTGCGTTTCGCTTTGTGCTCAACTTCTTCGCTCTTTCGCAATTCAATTGAAATCAAATTAAATGGAATGCAATTATTTTATCATCATTTGGCCAACTACCCAATTGGGTTGGAGTGTTGTCGCTTATCAGCTAGCCAGTGCCTCTGCTTCTGCCTCTGCCTGTGCCTGTGTCTTACAACCATGATTAATCAATGGATAATGGCACTGCTTCTGGCATGTACTTCAAATTAATTACCTCAGACAGAGATCGTCGCGCACTTGTTCGTCTAATTCAATTGATACGCAGCTTAATCTATTTCCTGCTGTGCGATACAAAAGCTTTCAGAGAGCGTGCCAATGTTGTGCTCTTGTTGGAGGAGAAAGAGAGAACGAGCGATAGCGCAGGCAACCACAATATATTATTATTTGCGGCTCTCTCGCTGGCACTCTGACTCTCCTGAGGCAGATGTCGTAGCTGCCGCCAGGTAGCCAACAACAACAACAACAAACACAAAAACACTTTTGCTGTCCCCATCGGCCAAAGGTGCGAAAACAGAGGCAATAACAAACAACGTCCAGTGCTCCCTGAGTGTGTACCGTGTATTTAATTCAGCTTAACTAAAAAAGCAAAAAGGTAACGAAAAAAAAGGCGAGCATGCCAAAGGTCAATATTGTAAATTGATAAACCGAGGCAGCAGCGGCGTGGCAAAATAACAACAAACACAAAGATGAACGACAACATTTAAATAGCGAAGAGCAATGTAGCCATGCTGTTGGAGCTTTGCGGTATTATAATTAAAAGTAAACAATTTCAAAACTCGAAATTAAATTGTCGGCAACATTATTTTCGCATTAAATTTCAAACTAAAACAGAATATATCAGCATCAACTGAGTATGTAGCATGCCAACCGAATTGGAGCATTATAAATAGAGGCGTCTATTTTTATATAGCTCTGAACGAATGGCTAAATGGGTGAGTATTTAAATTTGATTTAAGCAATTACATTGGCCTACACAATTTACAAAAACAAAGTCCCTGAACTACAATTAAAAGCATTAAAAAAAAGCTCAATGCGT